TAACTACTACTAAGATTGCCATTCTTTTTAGTATAATGTTTGTATTTAATCTACTATACAATATCTTATATATTATTTAAGAAAGATTTATTATATTTGAATTACTAATTTCATTATATTTAAAATACTCAATATTCAAAAAACAACTTAGACATTATTCTATTCTTTACTTAAACTACAGTTGTTATCTGAAATCTAAAACTAAATATAAAAGCTTGAAATTGAAACTGAAATCTGAAACTCTTTCTAAAACTCTAACACTATACTAAAAGGTTTAGAAATTTAATTTTAAACTTTAAAACTTAAAGTATAAAATAATTAGATTGCATTTTAAAACATTTTAGTTACTTTATAGTAAATGTGCATTAATTATTAATATCCTAATTTTAAAGTTTTAAAAAGATTTCAAGTTTTAGGTAACAAATATAACTTAGACCAACTTATTATATTTAATAATACATATCTTTTAGATTAAAAATATATATCTTTATATATATACAAAATTCTTAAAGACAAACAACTATTTTGGTTTATCTATTTAAAAAATCAAGTTATAAGTTACTTATACAATTATACTTTCTATTAGCATTCAAATCTACCTAATACAAATTATTATAGTTATTTAACTGAACACTTTTCTTTATACAAAAAATTATAACTTATTATAGTACTTAATAATTAAATAATTATTAGCAAAGTCAGAAAACAACCTTCTTCTTCAGGAACTATTTTTATTACTCATTAGTAATATTATATAGAATCACAATTTACTTATCTCAATTCACTTTTATTTATTCAATTATAAGTATATTCAGGCTACTCTCTCAATTCTTATACAATTACTAATAAATATACAATTAATATTTCTATCAATCTTTTTACAAGACTTTTTGATCAAGTTAATATATACTTAATTACAATTCTAATTACCTTGATTTTATATATTTTATTGCAATTTAATATTCTATTCTTTTTTTTTTTTGTTAAAGTCCATATTTTGTAACAATACTTTATTAACTTTTATTGGATTAGTTATTACAACTATTTTTGCAGAAATGAGAGTACAGCTAGTCACATGTGCAACTTTTGGTTGTCTATTTAAGTAGTTCACTCTAAGGTTCTATACTAGATGCTGTACCTATAACCTACTAGAAAATTATCTATTTAAATTCTCTGATCATCTAACTTGTTATAATGTAATTCCAACTAACTTCTTATATATACCTAACCAGTATACCATCTGAGTAGTATGGTATCTACCTTTTCTATACTAGTTTTCAGGTTATTACACATTTCAAAGTATGTCACTTGTTAGTAAGATGCAGAAGGCCTCTTATTGTTAACTATCTACTCACTTTTAGAATACTAACAAGGGCTACTCTTACAAAGTTCATCCAAACTCTGGTACTAACTTCACAACATATTTCTAGTACTTTAGTATACCTTTGCTTTGACCTCAGACTCCCAATCCAATTAGCTCAGAAGAACTGTGACCTGTCCTTGGTATATTGAAATTAGCCAAATATACTTTTTCTTTGATCTGAAATCTGGCAGCTTGGTTGGTGATACCACTTATCCAAGATTTTTGCCTGCCTGATTCCTTCATTTTGTTATCTATTTTCTAAGTCTAGCCTTTACAGTAGTACTATCAAATATCTGTATTACCTCTCTGCTCAAAATTTTCAAATGAGTTCTGGCTTCTCAGTTCTATATATTTACATGACACAAGAACTTATTTTAGATTTTTACTATCCAGTATCAGTTGGTATTCTTCTGTGTAACAGTTTACACAAATGCCCATATCTGCCAATCATGTTGATGTAATTATAATTACAGATATTCTATTTCAACTGATTGACAAAATGCCATTGTCATAATACTGTCTATATATTACATAGGTGATAATCCAAATTTTACTATTAGTAAGTTTTGAACTCAAAACCTATCACTTGAAGAGATGACAACTTATTCACTTTACTAAGTTGCCATACCCTAACATTCTATTCAAATTCCTAACCTTTTTAATATTAATATTACAGTACATTTAATTTCAAATATTTTTAAATCTAGTATTTTAACAAACAATTACCTATAGATTGTTAATAACAATTTACAACTATTAGAACTTTATTTTTATACAAATAATTCAGTTATTAACTTAGATACTTCACAATATTCTATAGATAATAAATGAACCAAAATTTCAAATAACACTATACTGTACACATTTCAAGCCCAAACAATATACTGATTTTGCTCATTTAAGTCCAAATTTACTATTAGCTTATTATCTTTTATTATTGCTTCTAGAAGCTGTACTATATATATGTACCAACTTACAGTCTGTAATCTCAAAATATTATAGTCTTTTAAACTTAATTTATATTTTATCTTATACATATACACCATATTTTTCATTATAGAATACACTTATTAATTTATCAAATTATACAATATTTATATTATTTTTCACAAAATTACTGCTCACCAAAATAATTAATACAATAATTTTGCAGATTAACTTGCATACAATCATTATAATTTGTTATATCTTACCTTCATGTTCTATAATATCTATAATTCTATATATTCTTTAAATTTTAAAAACTTTTCTTCAAAACTACTTATTTATCACAATATTTGTACAATATATTATACACATATTTATACATTATGGATTATATAAAACTGCTTTCAAAAATGACAAAATTTTAACCAAATTTATTGGCAAACAACTTTGCTATATATCAATAATAATTAAAAAACCTTAAACTTCTTATATAGCTTTCAGTCTTTAACTTTTAAGTTCTTCAGAATTTAAATTCTATTAGATGATCTTTTTACTTCACATATTTTAACAAAAACTATTACTAAATTTATTATCTTGTAACCAATATTACCAAACCAGTTCTCACCTTTACTAAACAATCTGTTTAACTAATCAATTACTATACAATCTTATAGATACTTTATTACAACATACCTTAATATTAACATACTTGACACTACACCAAACACTATAATAAATTTATATAATTAAATTAAGTTATTGAATAGTATAACTATTCAAATTATATTAGACATACTTTCAATCTTTTCAACTCTAACAGGTCTAATACCAAATGAACTTATTAATACTATTGCACATTTGTTATTCAAAAAGTAGTTACAAAACTTGTTATAAAGTTTATGCTTTATCTTAATCAACAAATTTATTACAAAAACTGAATTTCTTATTATATCTTAAAATCTACAATTCAATTTCCTAAATACAACTTATTATTAAACCTTGTATTACTTCCATTATGTTTTCTTCTGTTCAATTTTATTAGTTCAAAAATAAACTCTTGGTATACCCAATGAATTAAATATCAAACCAACCCCCCTATATATAATTACTAGCACCCAAATCTAGATAAGCTTTGTTAATTTAAATTACAAATAAATTAGTCTAAGCTTCTATTTTTTCTATAATATTTTAAAAGTAAAATTATGCTTTATGTAAAATTTTTTAATAAAGATAAAAGCATGACCTCATTATTAATATTAAAAAAAATAATAATAATTAAATGTTATATTTATTATATTTATATTGTTACTCACAACCAAATCTAAGTAAGCCTTAACCATTTTTGTAGGTTTAGATTACAGATTATATGTTTAAGTCTTTATTTTTTATATATGATTTAAAAGAAAACTTTTTTTTGTAAAAAGTTTACTTGAATTTTAATAAATTAAAAACATAGCCTTACTTTTAATATAAAAAAAATAAACCTTACTTAACAATTGATCAATTCTTAATATGAGTATATATTTTGCATGTCAATTAGATCTAAGTGATAAAATATTATATATTTTATCAATTCATAAATCAAATTAAGTTAAAGAAACTTTATATATACAGAATTTAAGAAATAATACTATTTATCTAAGTAAATTATCTTATTAACATCTAAAACTAATCGGAATAAAAAACAAGCTTATTTTAAAGAGTTTATCAAAGTTGTTTTTTCACACCAAGCTCACAAAACCAAAATAAAAATAAAATTACAATTACATTGTTTCTTCTAAACTTGATTTTGAGAAAGATTTCATAATGTAATATATTTACAAATGTATTAATTTCTGATTTTAAGCTAAGTGGGTTGAAAATTTCTGCAACAAGCACAACGATATTATTAAAGTCAAAGTTATTTGACAGAATGATATTTCTAAAACACAATATAAAACCAATTAATTTTATTATTCTGATGTCTAGAATTAATGCATAATTATTTTTATAATGTTAATCAGTCATGCAAATTGCATATTAAATAATGTAGTGGTAATAGTACATGTTGTTTTTATAACAGATAATGCGCAAATTATAAGTCATGAAATTTTATGTGGCCATAATAATACAAAGTTGCTTTTAATGTCACAAATTATTATAAGTTAGTAATATAGCGATAATAATACAATTGAAAATTCCAAGTTATATTAAATTCTTTTATGTATTTTTTAAAAACTCGATGAACATTCGAACATCGTCAAAAATTTTTACCGATGCTCGAAAATTTCGAGTTTGTGACCAATCAACACTCGAAACTCAACGATTTCAATCTCTAGGTTTATAAATTTAACATGATTTAATAGTTCATATCATTTTAAGAGATTTTAAATGATTAAATCTCAAAATCGAAAATAATGTCAAATGTGATAAAATGCATTCAGAATAATAAAATTTTATTAGGATGATTGTCAAAATTTTATGCTACATCAAATCTTGTGACCTTATTACCTAGATTCATATGATCACAAAATTTGACAAAAACAATATCAAAATATTAATTAATTAGTAAATACAATTGAGACATTTTTGACAAAAATAAGGGTACATTTAGAAATGTAATCGTTAATTAGAAAGGGTTGACTGTATTTTGAATCAAAATTATATAGTAAAAAGCATGTACACCCTGTCGTTAAGACAAGTTATATTACTCATTTGTAGTAAATTAATTTTAACTAGCAGTAAAGCAATGTTCACTATCAGATGACGGATCATTACCCCACCAAGTTGGAAATGGTACCTGGAGGATAAAATGTGTTAAGTCATATACGTAAAAAAAATTGAAAGGCTTTAGCTGAAATATTAAAATAATAATCTACCTGCACAACACCAGTAAGCAAAATGAAGGAAACTATTGTCATGATTTGTGCACCGGCATCAAATGCTGCAGACATTACATAATTATATCTATTATAAATTATATAAACGAATGAGCATTATTTCGAATTATTGTTATTGATTAAAAAAACAGATAAATAAAATAAAGAAAAATAAACATACTTTGTCCACCATCTATAGAACAATCAAGTAATAAAATTAAATTTACGTATTTATAATGAATGATAAATTGATAGACCATATCGATATACTTACCTTTTCTTATAACGAAAAGCATAAAATTGACTCATAAAGCTTGTAATAAGCCCAGTGATCATGAAATTTGCATAAGTTCCGGGAAAAGTAGTTAGACCGTTTAATATCACAGGCATATTCACGAGATTGAATCTTGCTTTTGGGTATTTTCGATGAAGTAGATAAAATGGTACTGGTAAAAAGCCACCAATTAAGAAACCCCAAAGGAGTACATTATAAATTGAGCCAGACTACCGAAGCACAAGGAATATTAGATCTATACGCAATACTTGACTTTAAATACTGTGAAACAAATTTAATTGACCTACCCCGAAAGTCCTTGCAGGTCCAACCAATCCCCACACTATAGATGCAGTATTGAATATTTCAGAATTAAGACCAGCCCACTACACATACAAATAGTGAATATTTTTTTAAAAATATTTCAAAAAAAATCAGACGTAATGAAAAATATATATATGTATATATACTTGGCCAGTTGGATCATCTTCTGTTCCATCAAGATAAGGCCTTTTTGTTTTAATTATAATATACAACGTCCAATAGTTTACAATTATACCAATCAATGTACCCCATATTTGTGATATGAACATGCTTTTTGGAGGAATTTTCATATAATGACCTTTTAATAGTTAAAATAAAATTTTAATAATAATATTTAGATAATCTTTATGATAATAAATTTTTTAAAAGGGACATACCTAATTTTAAATCTTGAACAAATAACAAACATTGAGTCAAAGACATGTGTCCATATGTTTTAAAGTATACGTTTCCGATAGCATTGCCGGGTAAAAGAAAACCGCACACCAATTCACTTATAACATTTAAACCAATTGGCCAATTTGAGACGGCTTGAATAACTCCTATCAGCAGAAGAAAATAATAAAATTATATTTTAAACAATATATTTTGAACAAGTATTATAAATATTATACATACCTATCGGAAGTACCATGAGCATAGCAAGAGCAACAGCAAGCAATAAAGACCACCAAGGTAAATTTGCACCGGTTGTATAACCAAGAATAATTGCGACAACTAACATAGAAACAAAAATACCAGCATACCAAAGATCTGGTACCTCTGTTATCAACATAAAAAGATTGATAATATAATAATATGTTTAAGTTTGTTTTTTTTTCTACATAAACGCAAATAAAATAAAATAAAAATAGATATTGATGAAACCTTGATAGGCAGCCATCATTTTGCAATGAATATCATCTTTTTCTTCTTCCTCGCGAGTTTTTTTGAATCGATGCCAAATTTCCTTTCCGTGAAATAGTATCACATGACTAAGAGTTGCGGGAAATTGCAAGAAAGAATAGAGATAACAAATAGCAAATGCGGCAGACATAAACACAGGACTATAATTGTTATATGCAGTTTCATTGAGAGCACCGGTTGCTGGATCAATGATGCTTCTTTGATTATATCTATAAAAAAAAACAAAATAAATAAATAAAAGCGTTATCCACATAAATTTAGTTTATTATAAGTTTTAATATAATTTAACAAAAATATTTACGTTTCTCCATTTTTATCAAATGTATGAGATGACATAAAGGGGAATTTTTGGGCATCGCTAAATAAAATTAATTTATTAATTTGAGGAATTAGCAACCAATCTAAAAAGTGAATAATTAATTACTTACAAGGTATTACTAAAATACAATGCCGGAGCAATAACCCATATTGATAAAATAACACCAGTCATATAATTTACTTGAGACCACCTATATAGCAAGGAAGTAAGTAAATAAAAAATATGACAAATTAAATGATGGGGACAAGAACGAAATTATAGAAAAAAGATTACCATGGAGTATATAAGGGAAAAATTTGTCCAATAGCGTTCCAGTCAAAAGAAAAAGTAAGCATTCCGGCACCTCTTTGAGCACTTCCCAATATTTTAGCCGTATTATTATTTGGAGCCATGAGACATAACAAAGAAGCACTGATTAACCAAGGAAATATGTATCCCGGCACAAACTGCCAAACGAACATTGCAAAAAATGCGATATAAAAAAAACGAATTCTGGCATTTGTTTCCGAAATATTGCCGTGTAGTGTGTTGTACATGCTAGAGAAGACAAGAGCCTGCGGCCATATCATGTTAGCTGGACGAACCAAAACTATATTTTATGTAATTGAAATTGAAGCATTAATTAAGTACAAATGTTAAATGTTTTGAATAAATATTGTATTTAAATAATTATTTTCAGCTAACATACATTTTCGAACAAAACCGGCAAGTCCATATCCAAGCATTTGTGTGCTAATTAATAACAGGAAACCAATTAAGAAATTGACTTCAGTAGCATAGAATAATTCTTGAATTGAGATAATATCCTATATAAGTATGAAAAATAGACATTAAAAAATATTAGAAAAAATAAAACGGGACAAAAAAAATAAATTTGAATCATACCACAGCATACGCGCTAAGACCACCAGCATTAGCAGCAGCGACGATGCACACATGTTCTTTATAGTTAAAAGGACCTGCAAAAATTTATGCATAAGTTACACATGATACTTATACATGAACAAGATTCAAACACAAATAAACATAAATATTTGTAAAGGACAAACCTGGATTAAAATTAAATTCAAACTTTCCAATACGAAATATCCTATTCGGAAAGATTTTATCCATCCATTTTCCAATAATATAGGAAGCAAGTATCACAAAGAACATAGAATAAGCAACGCCATTTGCACGGAAGAAGTAGAATACTGATATAGAGGCACCCAATCCTGTAAAGAACTACGATACATAATTCATAAGATAAGAAAACAGCTTATTATATGGATAATCGAGTGGATGAAACGATACGTGATATATAATGTGTAGTCTAGTTATATACGTATCTATTTAATATATCGCAATATATATAGAACTTACGGTGCTTAACAACCAAAATCGAAAAGTCAAACAAGGTAAAGTTGGATCATCGTTCGTGCTAACAGCCTAACATTTTTTTTTAAAAAAAAAAAATTTATTAAAGTCGACGCGAAAGAATTTAATAATCAATAAAGTTTGATAAATTACAGCTGATATCATTTCTTCTACATCATCTTCACTAAATATTTGATTTTCTTCTTCATCATGAAGTTTTCCATTAGCATCATGACTATCTTTAATTTTCTCGTCTGTAATAGTTTCTTGTACCATCTCGGATAGTAAATGAAAGAACCAGTTATTCGAAAATTTTTTTTTTAAAAAAGGGCAAGTTTTTGTAAAAAAAACTCTTGAACATGAGTAAAGTAAACGTTTAGGAGATTGAGAGATTGCATATTTATATAAATATTTTTTTTAAAGATGAGATAAATTTGGTAATGGATGTCAGCAGCGAAAGAATGCATAAAAATCTTCACAGGTGATATTATAGCAAATCCTAATATAGTTTATCGATAAATAGTGCTCTCCTATAATAACGATAACGATAACAAATTTCATCTACAAAAAAGTAATGTTTTAGGCATATCTTTACGTGTCTGTTTCACTGAAGATAGATAATCTGACATCCATGTAATTAATTCCTCTTAGTAAATTTATTTTGTATAAAAAGTTTTAGCAATGAGAATACTATGGCGCATAAAGCGAAGGAATCGACATACATGCTTTCACTTATAACTACATATACTGTAACCTAAAAGACATATTAATTATGTGGGAATACAAAATTGAATTTAGGGTTTATTTCCAAATTTGGACCAAATAGTTGTTAATTTTGGATAGAAAATTGACACCTTGATGTTACATAATAATGATCGCTATACTCAAACACGTGAGTATGTACATATTTGAGAAACTAAATTTAAGTTTCACCAAGTTTCACCGTGAAGTTCCTCATTGGCTGTTCTATTTAGTTTCTCCGGTTTCGCCTGCAACTCTAGTACATATTTGTTACAAATTTAAACATGAATGGTGATTTTTAATTAATATAATCCTCAATCTCTATTACAATAGTATGGGATTATCATTACTAATACATTAGAGTCGTTTAATTATGCATGATGATAAATTCTGTAATGCATGCATATTAAGCTCGAAGCCGATCATCATATGGGGCCTTTGTGACCTTACTGGACTATGTAAATTCTATGAATAAAATTAAAATTTCTAGCCATCTAGTAATCCAATTTAAATAACCTTTTTTTTATTTTATAAAGCTTAGTGAGTTTTACAAAATGAAAAAAGTTTATTTGAATTGGATTACTGGATGGCTAGAAATTTGATTTTTACTCATAAAATCTACATAGTCCCGTAAGGTCATTTTCAAGGCAAAGACCTCACATATCCGGAACTATAAACCTATGAAGCTTAGCTAGCTATGGTTTAAGCAGTAATTATCATCGGGACGATTCTATAATGCATTAATACAATTAATACATTGCATAAGAAGTACATTGTATCATCAAAAGTTATAAATTCTTATTTTTACAAAGTTAAATTGACTAGATACTAGTTACTAATTAAGTATGAATTTTGATTCACCTTTTATGATTAATCTTTCAGATAATATATATATATATATATATATATATTCAACTAGCCAAATTTTGATCTGGATAATCCGGATATTTGTTTAACTCATTCAAATAGACTATCTGCTTATCTGATGTCCATTTCGTCCAGTATCCGTTTGGCTTATCCGAATAGTTTATACACATTATAGTTATATGTCATATTGTACGTGTAGATGATAACTGGATATTTATTAGGATCAGCGAAAAAGTTTTTTCGTGCATTGAAGATCAGGTTTATGATTACAAGCGAAATGCGCATATTAAAGATTTTAATTTCATCCATGCTTCAAGCTTTGATGCATAATATTTATTTCGTAACTAACATTGTAATATAATAAACATTTTATATAATTAAAAATCAATAAATTAGGTTTTGTTACATATTAGGAAATTAACAATATATAATAGAGAATTTCTAATTTTCACCAGGGGTGGGAAATTTACCGAAGTCCTATATCGCAAAAACGTACTGCCTAACGCATGTCAGGTATACTAACTAAAAAATGGTCAGAACCTATCCCTGACTAAAATTTGAGCCTTATATCTAACCCTAAAAAAAACTTAAGGGGATGAATTTCTCCTCGGTTAAATGTAGTTATTTTATATATTTATGATTTTATATAATAAAAATAATTGTATAAGAATAAAGTATTTATACTGTTGGGTTCGGAAGATTGCGACCCTGTCGCTCCAAAATTCTAAACCTCGTGTAACGTACGACAAGTAACCTTTTCGAAAGAGGGTGTTAGATTTGGCTTG